CTGCCATAGGCTGGTGTTAGGGAGGCTGTGCCACAGGATGGTGCCACAGGGGGCCGTGCCACAAGATGGTGTCAGGGAGTCTGTGCCACAGGACAATCCCACGGGGGCTGTGCCACAGACGGTCCCAGGGGAACTGTGCCAGAGGCTGGTGTCTGGGTAGGCTGTGCCACGGGACAGTCCCATAGGGGTTGTGCCACAGGATGCTGCGTGATGCATGGTGACTGGGTGTTTCATCACATGCCGGGGGCGTGAAGGGGGGGTGCTGTGCTGCAGTGTGGAGCAAGGTGGACACGACTGTGGGGTGGTGCCAGGGGCATGCTGCGTCATGAGGTAGGTCCAAAGGTGCTGGACCCCAGGTGGACCCATGAACTATGCAATGCCCCTCTGTAGTGCTGGCAGCACATGGCTTGTTAGTGGTACCTGACCACTGAGGCAGCTGAGACTCCACTAAGGCACTGCCACCTGGTGGTGGGCCTGGGAACTCCAGCTCCCAGCCTGAAGGGATTATAAATGAAGTGGGCTGTAGCCCACGAAAGCTTATGCCCAAATAAGTGTGTGAGTCTCTAAGGTGCCACAAGGACTCCTCGTTGTTTTAACAATCTACATGTATGTCTAGCCTACCTAATGATGTACCATCCCCTTATGGTAGCCTACCTAGCTTCTTCAGACACCCTAGCAGGAAGCTGTGTCAGTCTGGTTTCCCCAAACAGCTCCCCAACTACTACCCTCTTGAGAGAGGGAGGGAGTCCCTGATGATCCAGCTAGAAGGTCCTTTGTTCTTGTTGGTTACCAGGCCTTGGCCTTGCTTGTCCAAACCAGTTCAGTAGCCTCAGCTGGAGGTAGGGCCAGATGCCTCAGAACCAGTGGCTCTACCATTGTCCCATAAGGGCTGCCAAGTATTTACTGTGGGGTGGCTCACCCTCAGCCATTGTTTCCATCCTGACTGCTTTTCCTCACAGCCACCTATTAAATTAAGCTAGTATATCCATACAGTAAACATCCGAACCAAATCAACCATACAGTGATCACAAATTATTACAAAGCAGCCCCACTTCTTTCACAGCGAGTCTTTGTACCACTCTGTCCTCTTATCTTATTGTACTCCAGATGACAGGATGGTTAAAAACAATCACTGGCGCTGGTGAGAGATTTCCTGAAAATTGGCAGTGTAGAAAAGGCCAAAGTGATAGGGAACTCTGACAACACCACTTGTGCACCACTTTTCCTAAAAATGAAACCTAATGAGTCAGGGTATGTTTTTAAAGCCTCACTGCATGTCCTGTAGTGTAGTGTGCACATGCAAGATTGCAGTTTTTTGTAAAGAAAACACAGAGACCTTGCGATCAACTACTAACAATCCCCTGTGCTTTATTTTTTCACTCTCCAAACACAGGCACACCCAGTTTCCTGGCTAACCACAGTCCAGTAGACATCATTATTTCCCTACTAAGAAGTATCGTCATTAGGTCAAGGGACACTGCACTATCCTCTCCCTGTTCCTGGCCGAGACTTTAGAATAATCAGCAGCCTCCAGAAATTCATCCCAGGTTTATGCTGCACCCCATATATGCTGGGAAAGGACATAGGAAGCTTAGAGAATGCTGTATGGCTATCATTGTGATGCCAATATAATTAATATATAAAACTTATACATGTGTGCTTTGCTATGAAGTCTCATGGGCATGAGTTAAGAAACTCCCAGCAACCTGTGACAAAACAGACATTTTAAACACCATGTGCATGTAGTCTGGCCATGTTGCTATTATCTCAAGTCTGACTCCCTGGCTATTATCTTCTCTAGGTTGTTAATGTTGGTGTATTGCAGTATTACATAGCGAGATGACTTGGGGATCTGTGGTTCTCAGGCATAGATACACACAACCGTGGATTGTTGCGGTTGTTAATTTGGAAGTCCTAAATTCACAGGAATCATGTCTTTCTTTCCCAGCACCGCTACCCAAGTTCCTTGGAATCTACATCTTGCTTCCCAGGAACGAGTGACAGACATCTTTCTTGGTGTATGCTGTGTTCTGTATCTTAGTGTGAATAAAAAATAAACTGCAGTGCATTTGTATTGATGCCTTGTCTGCATTTTTTAATTTCTAAAGTCATCCAGGGACATACAGTAGTCAAGCGATTAGTGAAAATAGCCATATATGGTAAAGGGAGCTGCATCTTTCCTGCATCATCCACATTAAGGTAGGCTAGGCTGCACTAACCTGTTATGTTCTTGGTTGGAAGCGATGAGCATTGGTTCCATGTACAAAATAATAGTACAACAGTAATGACTGCTGTTGATAAAGGTTATACACCTCTACCCCGATATAATGCTGTCCTCGGGAGCCAAAAAATCTTACCGCGTTATAGGTGAAACCGCATTATATCAAACTTGCTTTGATCTGCTGGAGCACGCAGCCCCGCCCCCCTGGAGCGCTGCTTTACCACATTATATCTGAATTCGTGTTATATCGGGTCGCATTATATCGGGATAGAGGTGTATCACTAACTACCTAATGGAGAATTAGGCCATGTGTGCTGGAAAGACTACAGCATGGATTTAGAGATTCAGATAGGTTATAGGCAAAAAGAAAGCAACAGCAGGGACTAGCTTTAAAGGCCAATTCTGTGCTGATTTACATCCCAGTGCCAACCTATTAAAATCTCAGAGTGCAAATTAGCACAACATTAAACCAACAGTCCAGGGCCTCATTGATTCTGAACAAGTATTGTCAAGACATGAAAGGCAAATGCAGAATTGGCCCAATCCTGGGTGTTATTGATTGCTTGCAACTCCCATTGAAATTAATGGGCCTCAATACCTCTCAGAATTGGGCCCTTAGGAAACAGACTTTGCTCTAGCTGCTGAATTGAACTCTGTGTGAAATGCTTGGTGAAGTAGAAATGGCAGGGCCATCACCACTGGTGAGATGGTTTTCCAATAAAACAGCTTTTAAATCAAAACTCTAAAGACTTGTCTTCATGGCAAGTTAGCTCAAGTTATAGACTCAAGTGGTCTCCTTAATTCAAGTCCCACCCATACACAAAACTGCCTCACTTGAGTGCTTTGGTGCTTTTAACCAGAGTTAACTGGAAGAGGCTAAAACTTGAGTGAGCACAAGATATCAGCTATTAGCATGACCAATCGGTAATGTAGGCCCATGCTAGCTTAATGTAGGTGCTATTAGTCCTCCACTGCCTTTTCACAATGCCTCCTCAGCTGAATATTCTTGCCATCTAGTTCTTCTTTGGTTCAGGAACAGACATCAATTCCCACTTCACATGTGCTAGTTTGGTATTCAATCCCCACATTCATGTGTGGTATCTAGTGCTAACAAATGCAGTTCTCCAGCTCCGGTACAGAATTTCTTCTGACTGGAATGGCAAGCCAGAGAACACCTTCCTAGTGTGTTGCTATCTGGCTGGCGGCAGACATGAAGGTTTTTGTAGCTCAAGAGGAGTAAGTTGAGTTAACTGTGCAGTGGAGCCATACCCTTCAAGAAAATGACTGCATTGCTGGTGAAAGATGCCAGATGGACAACACTGGAAAATAAAGTCATCAGTTTCTCCTTAGAGCAGGTACAGCACAGAGGCAGGATTCCTTACCCCACCCTGGCCCCACTAACAGGGCAATTTATTAAGTGATCCATCCCCTGTCATTCAATCCCCATATCTGGCAGTCAGAGGCTCCCGGCTCCCCCTTCTCTACTCAAACCAGTTAGACCACTTTGTTTCTCTCAAATGTGCTGGATCCCTAGCCATGCAAATAGGGAATACATTTGTTCATTGAGTTTTGAGATAGGGGAGTCAAGTAATGAGTCAACAGCTCAAAAGCTGCACTAAATTTGCACAAAATGAAGGGTTGCAGATGCCCGCTTCAATACAGGGATTCAACCCATGGCAACCAAGGCTGTGATGTGATGTAAGTACCTGATAGTCTATCATGATGTGAAAGGTGTGAGATGGGTACTGTCCACATAATTAAAACAGTGCATTAAAAACAGTGGCAGCCACAACACAGAACTTAGCCCATTAGGATGTTTCAACTAACCACTACTCAGCAACTGCTTTTTCTAAGTTAAAAGAATATGGTTAATTCATGGTAAAAGTCTAAGATCATTTTTATAATCGAGAGGTTTCAGAGTAGCAGCCGTGTTAGTCTGTATCCGCAAAAAGAACAGGAGTCCTTGTGGCACCTTAGAGACTAACAAATTTATTAGAGCATAAGCTTTCGTGGGCTACAGCCGACTTCTTCGGATGCATATAGAGTGAAACATATTGAGGAGATATATATAGAGAGCATGAACAGGTGGGAGTTGTCTTACCAACTCTGAGAGGCCAATTAAGTAAGTGAAAAAAACTTTTGAAGTGATAATCAAGATGGCTCAGTACAGACAGTTTGAGAAGAAGTGTGAGAATACTTACAAGGGGAGATAGATTCAATGTTTGTAATGGCTCAGCCATTCCCAGTCCTTATTCAATCCTAAGTTGATTGTATCTAGTTTGCATATCAATTCCAGCTCAGCAGTCTCTCCTTGGAGTCTGTTTTTGAAGTTTTTCTGTTGTAAGATAGCCACCCGCAGGTCTGTCATTGAATGACCAGACAGGTTAAAGTGTTCTCCCACTGGTTTTTGAGTATTATGATTCCTGATGTCAGAT